TTTGGAATTTACAGAAATATCAAGTAGCATAATTTTTGGAATTTAGGAGTGGAAAAGTTTTTAGAATTTAGGACACACAGAGATTGCATAGCACAACAAAATGTACCTGCTGAAGCTAGTACTACAGTGCATGGTTATATTTTTCTAAGGAGTGTATGTCTGAATGCAGAGATGCATTTGAATCATCATCGCTAAGTCACCAGCCTACACAGCATTGTGGTATACGTCATTCATGTAAATAGGAATAAAATTGATTGCACTTTAGTTAAATAACCTACTAACTTATTCTTTGTAAGTATTAATACTGTAATTAGAGAGAGTACTGTAATTGTTGAATAAGAATAAAACACTTGCTTTCTGTTCATCTGAAATGGCATAGATTTTCTAGCAGTTATTCCAGCAGAAGTTTGAAGGAATGAATCATTCTGTATTTAGTTAGATAATCAAAATACACAAGCTATGAACATAACATATTAAACCATAATTCACTTTTCACGTTGGACAGCCAATGTTTATCAATTTTCACATAAGTCGTACTTTCCTGTAATTTTGAAAATACTCCATTGAATGCTATTCTGTTGAAGACAAACCCGAAATTTTTTTTTTTTTTCAAAATGTAATTGATAACTTGTATTGTTTATTACAAAATTTAAACCTGGGTGTCATGAACAAATTTGTGGGGGGTCACCAAATTCAAAGAAATTTATTTGACAATAAAAGGTATACGTAATTTGAAAAGAAGTTTGGATGATTTTTAACATTTCCATATTTTAATTTTGATTTTATTGCTTTCCACTTGATTTGTGTGTTATGCTTGATGATTTCCAAACAGCTCATCGAATTTCAAAGCAATTGCATACGCGCAGCTAAGATGTAGTTTTTTTCGTCTATCTTAGTAGTGTCTTGCATGTAATTGTAATATGCATCATTTATAAACTATGTTTCTTATTTCTAATTAAATTTGTTGTCAAGTAAGCACATAACATTTCCTAAGTATTGGAAAATTGAGTAGTGTCTCGAAGGATAATAAAAACAATTTTGTTTTAGTTGCAGTTTTGTTCATGATGGTTAAATGGCCCAAAATAGATACCCAATGTTCACAAGAGAAACGGGATGGATGGACCAATATCAAATAAACTTTAATGAGAAACTTTAAGAGAAAAACTATTAATGAAAATGCAAACAATAATGAATCCATTGGCTCTCTTTCTACTTCTAAAAAAATTGAGTAAATATCAAGAAGAGTTTATTTTATACTGTTTTACATGTTGTATTATTAATGGAAAATAAATATCCATTGTGTGTTAAATGCAGTGAAAACTTGGCACATGGAAAGCATGAAACCTGCGAAATTAAAAACACATTTAGACAGTACTTTTCCGTTTTGCCGCGCACGATAAAGTCGCCAACAATGGTACAACTGATGCCAAACGGAATATCTTCGCTGGCAACCTTTTACGCCTCATTTACAAAACAAGTCGCAGCCATTTCTTATCAAATTGATTGTACTGGCATAAAATTACATAGAAATTTACAAGATAGTTAAATTTTATGCTCTAAGACCATTCGCAGTAACTAAGTCAATTAGAATGCAATCACACCACTCACCCGAAAATATAGAAAAGGCAAAATCAAGGGTTAAATTCATCAATTCTAATGAGAATGCACTAGCGAAGTAAAGCACTGCGGTTTTACATAATTTCTGCATAAACTATTCGTACAAATTGAAATAATTCTTGCATTTAAACTTGTATTCCAAATTAAGATTTAACTTGTCATTAATGTATAATTAATGAGAGAATTAGATTTTTGTAGCGTAGTTTACATGAGATGAGATCAGGTGGGGTCATGTGATACAAACCGACAAATCAGGATGTTGAACCATGAAAACAGTAAATTTTTAATGTCTTTTTATAAATTTATTGCCTTTATTTATTGGCTTTTTACAAAATTTTAAAAGATATTAAAATGTTTATGCCTTCAAAATAAAAAATTCTTAGAACTAACGTTTGTTAACATTTTTTATGTGTATATTGTATGTTGTTGGCAACAAAGTCTGCTTGGCGAGATTTGCGCCAGTGAAACGGAAAGTACCTCAGAAACTAAACATAAAGATTAAGTAAATAAATCTGAAGAATTTTTTTAAGGAATGAGCTAAGAGCATGAAAAATTAAAATGTATTTTTGAAAAAATATACAACAGTTCCTGAGAAGGATTTACAGGCATCTTAAAAGTTTCATATTTAATTGCAAAAAATTTAAAAACCTCATACAATTGGAGAATCGCTCATTCTTCCTTCAGCAATTAAAATGACATCATTTATGCATACAGAAAAATATATTAATGATTTAAAAACAATAGCATTAAAAAAAAGATACCGTTTCTCACCAAATTTCTGTCATATCAGACACTATAGAATACAAAATCCAGTCTTTACTATAAAACTTGATGACACTACTGACATTATAAAAATGTCTCAATTCATCGTTTATCTGAGATACGATTTTGAAGATGACGCAGTAGAATATTTTTTATGTTGTAATATTTGGGAAGGAAAAGCAACTGGAGAGAAGATATTTGAAATTATTAACAGACATTTTGAAACAAATAATCTTACCTAAAGACACTGTGTCGCAGTTTGTACTAATGATGCTGCAGCATTAACAGGTAATTATAAAAGACTAAGAGAATTAATGATGAAAATTGCTCCCCATATAATATTCCATCACTGTATGACACATAGAAAAGCTCTTGTTGCAAAATATAAAAAAATTGCACAAGATGCAATGTTATTACTGCAATTAATTACCATTAACAGGCAAGATCCTAAACAGTTATCTCTTTTTAATACCATGTAATGAGATAAGTTCTGTATATGAGACATTATACCAAGTCAGTTGGTTTTCCCACAGAAAAATACTGAGACATTTTTCAATTTGAGAAATATAGTTTACATATTTTGGAGGAAAAGAAACATACATCAGCAAGTTCATTCATTAATAATGATTAATTAGGAAAACTAAGTTACATAGTAGACATTTTCTAAAAACCTAAGCATTTTAATACTGAGCACCAATATTGAAGCTTTTAAAACTAAGCTAATACTTTGGCAAGGAGAATTGAACAAAAACAACAGAAACATGTTTTTCAGAATTTACTACAGAAAATAATATAGATTTCTTGTTTAAAACAACATATGATAAAACTGACAGAAAATTTTTTGAAAAATTTCCAAATAAGGAATTAGGTTGGATCTATGACCCATTTTGCCTTTGGTATTTTCAATTCCAACGTATTTCTAAATGAAAAAGCACAATTAAATGATATTTTAAGTGGCAGAATACTGTGTGTTCAAGTGAAGTCTCTAACTTGCCAAAAATTTTAGTTATCTATTGGAAAGGAATATGCTAATTTAAAATGAATGAAAGTAAATTATTACGTTTCTTACATAAAATTGTACAATAAACCTTTAGCTTATATTTAAAACTTCTAAAATGCTTATGTTACATTTTTCTGTTATATAAGCATTGAAAGTGGATTTCTCACTGAAATAAAAATAATTTTGCTATTGAATTAACATGGAGAACTTTTTTATTGAAATTTTTTTCTCTGTGACATTAGTTTCATCTACTACAAACTAAGATTAAGAAATGTTTTTAAAACATTTTGAATTCGTTGTTATATTGATCTATGAAGCAGTAGATTAGTGAGTTTTTATTACATTACTGACAAATATAGTTTTTTAACAATCAAAAAATTTTCGGCGGAGATAATTATTTGTCAAATATGAATGTGTTTTCAAAGCGGAAATAAATAATAAGTGATAAAAAAAAGAAAAATGAGTTAGAACATTCACATTTCTAACAAAGTAATTTGCTTTGCTTTAATCTTTATAATACAATACATTTTACAATGATAAGGCAAAATACAATGTGGAATGGTTATGCAAAGATTACAATAGTACCTAGAGTATTCAGCACTTCGTATAATCTTATACCAAGATAATACTAATATTAAAGTAAATTTTATCTGAATAAAGTTTTGTGTTCTTATTACAGAAACAGTAAAATTATGCAATTGCATAAACGAATGCACTTTCAGACAATATACTTAATACTGTTTACAAGTTGAAGCCTAAGTTCTGTTTATGCAAGGCCAACTTATACTCAGATATATGAGTATACGTATTTGTAACTTATATATGAGTATAAGTTGGCCTTGGTTTTTGTTACTTCTCGCCCTTCAGCGCATGCTCAAGAATTACCATCCAGGCGAAACTAGTCGATTTGTCCATGACGTCAAAAATTCGAAAAGTGGGGTAGGGTTTGGAAATACGCTTTCCGGTTAGTCAATCCTAGCCATTTTTTCATTTTTAAGATCTAAGTTTGATTTATTATTTTTCCACAAATATTTAAATGTACAATAGGTTATTAATTCTTCAAAAACAAATGAAGATATTCTCAAATCGCATAGAAAAGTAAGGAATACAAAGCAACAAGAAGACAAAATACCTGCTGTTAGAGACAGCAACTTGACGTAAAAGTTGCTGGAGGAGTTTCTCAATTCTGACTCAAAAATTATTGCGATCGAAATAGCAGGGGGTGTTGCTGCAGAGCAATTCGAAGAGCGATTTACTACTACTACATATAGTGAATACTAGAACATATAGTAAATTTGAGTTTCAGAAAGCTCCTTATTCTCTGTATTACGTGAAGAACATTAGTGAAACAAAAAGACGAAAGTAAAGAGCGATTCATGTACGATTTTCCAACTGTTAAAGATAATTTCGGAAATTAATGGAAGAGTAAGAAAAAACTCTACTTAATTTAAATAAAACCTTCAAACTGTAGTGTTTATTAATTAATTATTTCTGATATTTTGAAAATCATTACAGTTATTCATTTTCACAATCTTTGATGTCTAAAAACCATTTTAAATAATAAGAAGTATTCCTACTGAAATTTTCAAATTTTCAATTGTTAGCGTGCTAGTAAAATAATGAAAAGTAAAATAAAAATCATAAAAGTGGAAATAGGCTGACAAAATTTTGTCATGAGTGACGAATTTCGCGCGTTAGCCGAAACCGGTAATTGCAGACGTGCCGATTCATTGTAAAGTTGTTTTTATAATTTTAGGTGAGGTACATGACGATTGTAATTGAGAATTATAATTGAACTCTCATTCTTAATTTGCTAATTATCTTTCTTCTTCTGATAGATCATGGCTACCGAAGGGTTCACTGATTCGGGGCGAATTTTGAAGATGGAAGTTGATTACAGTGCTACTGTGGATGAGAAAATACCAGTGTGTCAGCGTTTGTGTCAGGTAATTGCTTCACCTTCCCTTTTAAATATCGTATAGTTCGTTTTCTGAGTTTTTTTTTTTTTTCTTCATATATTTGGAATCAATCAGGCCTTATTTATTGTTTTACTTGGCCGCCAAAATAGGTTAATTTCTGGATAAGTATTTATGCATTATATATTTTCAAAATGGGGGTTACTGTTATTAAATCTCTTAAGTTCAATTTATATAGAATGTAGATGCAATAATTTGCCATTTCAAGAGAACGGAAACTCTGATTTTTTTCTTTCGTTCTGTTGTAGCGACATTCTGTAAAGCACGCATTTAGCAAAAAGTGTAAAGATAGTTTATTTCATTGATTAACTTTCTGATGGGGCATTTATTTTCATATTTAGATAAAGGTAACGATCCTGAACCAGTACAAGTGAAGTATAGTGCATTTGATAAGTTCTTGCTTGCAAATAGTTGTATGCAGTTTCAGATTGTGTACAGTTGTAAGCATCACTGTACAGTTTATGTGTAATGGTTATTCATGGTTTTAACTGTACTGATTACTGCTAAGAATAATGCCAAGCATATTTTATTTTGAAAACCCGCTTGCAATCCAAACAGTTTTATGTCAAATTGGATTTTCTCAAAAGAAATGTGGTAGGATCTTACTTGAGAGGTTGCTTTTCTGTCTGATTTTACACCTTGCACCTTGGATGATTGTAGCAAGATTTGAAGAGAAGATTTAAAGACACTAAAATTCCAGAAAAAGCCTATGATAAAATCAAAGATTTGTTTATGATATTATAACACAGAATAGATGTGTTTTACAAGAGCATTATGACAAATTTTTCTTATTTTGGGGAGAATTTTTGAAAAACAGTGAAAACAGAGTTATTTGAATTGTCTGCTTTTGATCCCATGAGTCTTTTTCATATGTTTCTCATGGGTTTACTTTCTGAGCTAATCTTTAGAATATGGTAACATTTAGTTTGGCGACATTTTGGTAAGGTGATAAAGGTTATTAGCTAGGACTTTAGCAATAATCTGAGAAGTACACAGTTTGAATCACGGATTATATTTTGCCTCGGAGAAATAAGAGATCATGAGACATGTAATGTGACATTTTCCGGAAAATTCCGATCATGATTTTAGCTAAAAAGCACTTAGAAACAATTTCACTGCTAAAGTGCAGAATCGCCCACTTATTTGTTTGGCACTTTTTACAAGAGTAAGAAGAATTAGATTTTTGTCAATTTTCTTTGACTTTTTAAGTGAAAATAGGTCGATGTGTACATAGATAAAGTCAAGAGTGTGCGCAATGCCATTTTTGTGCAATTCTGGGATTTTTTTAAAAGTGAAAATAGGTCGACGTGTACACGGATACCGTGTATGTGCAATTCTTAAAAATGCGGCAAGCAGTTTGCGATTCTGCCCGTCTCCCAATTTTGCACCTAATCTTCGTCATGATTAAGCATTTTTGTTGCATAAAAGTTCTAGTATAAGCGTAAGTCGGCTAGCAGATTGTTGGAAAAAATGTTAAGTAAAAAAAAAAAAAAAAGTCTTTATTTCGTGAAAACAAAATGGCGTCCAAAAAGCAGGTTGCTGTAGCAGGATTGGTCGACAAATTTTTGCAAAAAAAATCCATAAGGTATCATAATCTAAAGTTTTACCATTTTCTGTTTTATTTTTGAGCTTTTCTGTGTTCATAAGCTTGAAAAATTGAAAAAATACTTTTAATCTTGTCATATGAACAAGCATGTGTAGAAAAGAACTTATTAAGTAATAAGATTCATTGGTGAGAGTAGAGTGAAGGGTACACCTTGTATTACTGCAAAGTTGTTGTTTCATTTATTGCCAAGTGGTGGTTTATTTATGGTAGCCTGAGTAGTTGAATGTTATGGAAATCCTATTATGATGTAATCGGTTGCATGATTGTGGTGAATTTGTATGGGCTTGTGCTGTGTGTTGGTTAAGAAGTACATTGCTTGTTTTCGGTTTTAGATGGTAAAATGGCTGAATGTGGTAAGATTCATTTGAAGTTTCTATACGATTTGGAAAGAAAGGGGAAAAGAGTATTACTTGACTGGTGTGTAAATGAAGGTTTACTTAGTAGCCATCATTGAGTGTCCTATTTGTAGGAAGGAAATGTGTATGGTCGGACTGTAACTGCACTATGAAAGATATTTGTGACTCTTATTTTGTGAATTTATATGGTGACGCCAGTATACAGATTCTAGTTGAGATAATTTTAGGAACTTTTTGGATGCTGTTAAGGAATTTTGTTTGACTGAAGATGTGTTAGTTCGTAACTAAGGTAAGTGGATATTTCCTTTGTGTAGTGCAAAGAAGAATTTCCTTTTTTATGTTATTTCATAGTTTGATTTAAAATCTAGTTTATTGAGATTGTATATTTTTTTGTTGACTGCTCCTTTGACTTTTTAAGTGAATATAGTTCGATGTGTACATAGACAAAGTTAAGGGAATGCGCAATGCCTAGTTTGTGCAATTCTCTGATGTTTTTTTAAGTGAAAATAGGTCGACGTGTACATGGATAAAGTCAAGGGAGTGCCAGGGTTTGTAGCGGTCCTTATATTTGAAAATAAAATATAAAGGCCCTTATAGATGCTTACTTTTTCTTTAAAGCACTTATTTTTTTGTTTTTAGTGCTATTTTTTTTTTTAATGAACGTGCTATTTTCCCTAAAAGCCAAACTAAAAACACTTCTTCCTATTGGAATGTGAGTCTACCTAAAAGGTTGATCTTTGGATTATGGTAACTTGGCGAAAATTTGGCGACCAACTCTGTTACAGCAACCCTCTATTTTTTTTTTCGCTGAAGACATGTTTCTTTTCTTTTTATTTACTGAACACTTTTTCCAACAATCTACTAGCCGAATTACACTTATGCTAGAAATTTTATGTAACAAAACTGCTTAATCATGACAAATATTAACTGCAAAATTGGGAAAAAGTGCACAATCGCAAACTCCTTGCGCGTTTTTCAGAATAGCACATACACATAAACCATTTACACGTCGACTTATTTTTACTTAAAAAAACATCCCAGAATTGCACAAAAATGGCATTGCACACACTCTTAACTTTATCCATCTACACTGCTATTTTCTCATAAATTACAAAAATTTGCACGAAAATGCAAAAAAATTTCTGTGAATCTTTAAACTCGGTAAAAAGCACATATATGAAATTACCTGATCGCGAAAAAGTATATACCCTTTCCAAGGATGAACATTTCCACGTATAAAATAAATAAAATATCCAAAAACTTTTACCTCTAAATTATCTATTATATTATAAACGTCACCAACGAATTCATACGCAAACATTAAAAATGGTTACAAATACTTAGTGTCAAATATTTAAATTATTTCCATGCACGTTTACTTCAACTGAAACGTATACCAAATTCCTACAAACATATAATTCACAAAATAACTATCATTTAATTAAAATATAATTAAATTCAAAAACACTACTTAAAATATAAATAAGCACATACATTAAATTAATAAAAATTAGCTTACAATCCTAATTACTTTAAACTAAATCATTGCTAATAACAATTTTCCAATAATACCATATTACTTTATTTACTCCTTACATTTAGAACAATGCATAAAAATAATATCCTCAAATAATTAAAAATACTAACTTACCTAATCTTCTTCAGAATCTTGATTACGTGGCCGATAAACTTTTCTTATTTCCTCCGCTAAATAAAAAGCAAGCGTATTCGCCTGCATTCATTTAAATCATACTTTTAAGTATCTATTCTTTTTAATCATACTTTAATCATACTTAAAATCATAGTTCACAGCAAGGTACCAGGTAAAATAAATAACTTAATAAAACATCTTTACTTCTATCTCGCACAACCTTAAAAAAACACTTATTACTACCCCTTTCAATCCCACTAAATACCCATTTCGAATTCACTTTAGTTAGGGCCATGGGATCCAAAAATTAACCAACACTGTTTCACACAACACAGAATAAAGCTAAATACAAAATTTCCAGATTTTTTCCAGATTTCCCCCCTTTTCCGATTAAAGAACTGTAATTCGTCCATTAATGTCACATGACATATCTCATGATCTCTCATTTCCCTCACACAAAATAATGCGTAATCGGAACTGAGTACTTCTCACATTATTACCAAAGTCCTAGGTAGTAACCTTTATCGCCTCCAAAATGTCGCCAAACTACCAGTTACCATATTCCAAAGATCAGCCAATGTTCCCCTTTCTCTGATTAACATACCTTTGGGTGCACAAGATACGGAAGTGCTGCGTTATTGGTCAAGAATGCGAAAGCATAGAAATTCCGCTGATCGCATCTTCCCACAAATACACACACTTTGAATTCTTCAGATCTTAAATATTTGCATTCTCATTCTGCTTGGTCAGTTCATTCGTGTTTATTATGATCATTATGCTTATATTATGAGCATATGTATGAATGTTTATAACATAGTTGCAGTAACTGCTGAAGTATAGTAAACTTCCAAAAATGGTTGTGTTTTAACACAGATTAGCTTTCTAAGGAATAATATTCGGGATGGCTTAAATAAAGGGAAATAAAAGTAATCGAATTACTTTTATTTCCTTAATAAAAGTAATCGAATTAATTTATTGGCTTAAATAAAAGTAATCGAATAGTCAAAATAGTTTCATTTTTTTGGCCAATAATTATACAGTACGAAGGTTGGGAGGTCTCCCTTTCTCCGCAAAATCTTGATATTGAAACTGTTACAGTTCACTGCAAAACAAGCAACGGTACCTTTTTTTCGGGGGGGGTGTCACTTTCCAATTTAGATTGAATAGGACTAAAAGCGCAGTCTACCAACCCAAGCGGAAGAATTGATTCTATTCCGGAAATTTAACGCCGGTCTGTTGAAATTTAGAATGAAAAACACTCCAGTTATTTAGTTCTTTTTTCTCTCCCAATACTGGCAGTTGTTGATTCTCCGATTGCGTAATATCACGTAGGGAAGAATTATGGCGCACGTATTGCGCAATAACGTTTGCGATATTTTGCAGAGATAATTAATTTTGATGTTCAGTTCGAGATTGTTTATGAGCTCTTAAAAGAGTTTTACTGTGCTTGCTAAGCGGAATATTTTTAGTTCGTTGGTTTATTTTTATATGATGCACATATTGAAATGTCAAAAGGATTTATTACTGTCAAAGGACTGCATGAAGCAAAGTTCTGTCTTCTAGAAATTTCTTTTTTTACTTAAATTACTTTGCTTGCAATATCTGTTAAGAGAAAAAAACTGATATACAATGAAAATTTAGAAAATGTCAGAATTTAGATTTAAATTATTTAAATATCAATACGAGTGAAAAAATAAATTGTATTTTTTATTAGGATCCAAGCGAATACAATAAATATGCCTTATTATTTATTTATTTTCTCTATTATGAGCTGAAATTTCATCATTAAATCTTGTAATATAGTTTTTTTTCTCCTCATTGTAAACTAGTTCTGTAAATTGAACTATTATTTAAAATTAAAAATGAGAAAAAAAAAAAAAAAAAAAAAAGAAATTATTTTCTATGGTTGAGGTAATGCATTTTCTCTCTTAATAAGTACTTCATTTCTCATATTTTAAAGTACAAGTCTAATTTTTAAGGTTATGCAGTTGTGTATGATGTAATTAGGAATTTTTTTTTTCTTAAAATTTTTCACATTTTTTTTTTCTTAAAATGTGCTTGAAAAGTGCTTATAGGTGCTTATTTTTTTAACTAAAATGTGGCTATGAACTTTGAGTGCTCAATGCCAAGTTTGTGCAATTCCGGATTTTTTTTTTTGAAGTGAAAATAGGTCGATGTGTACACGGATACCAAGTTTGTGCACATTTTTTTTGATGTTATTTTGTCTTTGTGTAGCTACACATTGCCGCTACAGAAATCGCCGCTACACAAGCCAAAGTAACAAGTCAAAGAATTGCAAACTCGGTATCCATATACCGCTAAAAATCGGCCATTTTCGCCAAGGGGTACCCGTAAATATACTTTTACCGATTCATTTTATATATATTATTTTTTAAAGTTTTCTGAATTATTCTCAAAAATTTATATTAAGGAAATTTAGTAGCATCTGTACATTATGAACACATGCAGTCTTTAACCCATTGAATACTGCAATAATTTCACATGGCTTGCCTGTCTGGCCAACATGAATTTCTCATTGTGCGTTGAATATTTTGGTGAAATGTTAATTGCAACGGAGAAGTGAATGAACTTATCAACTTTAACTGCATCATGAACTTAAAAAAAATTTTGCGTTTCATTTCCATGTAATGTTTCAATACAGCACATTGCAAAATGCACACGTAATATTTAAGTGTACATTTTATATACCGTCAAAAGTCTTGAATCCGGATGTCCATAATCCGGAATGATCTATAATCCGGATCTCAAAGCTACACACTTTCTGCACATGCGTAAACATGTGTGTTTACGCATGCGCATAATACCTTTACGCATGCGCGTTTAATGTATAACGGACAGTATAAGCTAAGCTAAAATTATCTAATTATCTATTTCAGTTAATGTTGCAGATTGCATTGTTCCATAATCTTCTAGTTGGATCCAGCTTATTATTTTTTGCAGACTGTTAGAGCAGTTTTATAAAAGTAAGCTTGAACTTTCGATTATGCCAAAAAAAGAATTTCCGATTTTGGAGCTGCCAAAGGATCTACAAAGTGAAAGCATGCTTATGTCCATCAAACAAAAAGTGGAATTGCTGCAAAAAATGGATAAAGGCATATCCTTTGTTTCTCTAACCATTCCAAAATCTGTTTATCAATTTCACGCTGCTCTGCCGGGGGGGGATGTTAAGGCACGAATGAACTGGAAGTTGATCTGTCAGCACTATCCTTATATTCAGAGCAGATGTTTTTATATTATTCGGCTTATAATTCCTTACTAAATGTAGTATTTCATCTCGATGTACTCCGTCTTTGATATGATTTAAATAAAATTCCTCGTCATTATAAATATCACGAATACAGATCAAATAGTTTTCTGGTTGCAATTTTCTAATTTCGACTATGCGTAATGTATGCTTTACGCATGCGCGCATTGAAAGAAATGTTTAATAAAGTAAACAAATAAATATTAAGCTTTTTTTTTGTAAATTTTGATACCCTTTAGATCATAATTGCTCTTATTTCATAAATTATGGTTTCATATTTTTAATTTTATAATTTTTGCATGCCATCTTATCAGATTTAAACTGATGATCCTATAATCCGGAAAAATCGATAATCCAGAATTGCCAAAGTCCTGACAAGTCCGGATTAAAGACTTTTGATTATATATAATTAAAATTATTTATGTATGTTATTTATTACATTAATTTCTTCACACCATTTTAGTAAGGATTCTAATATTAAAAAATTAAAAAGATTAAAAATTACTCGTATTATGTGTTTCTAGTAATCTTTGCCGGTCACTGGTAATCTTTGTATCTTTTGTTAAAAACATTCGACATATTAAGAACAACAAAAATCTTTTAACAAATGATTAAGAAATAATGAAGAAAAATTTTTTGAGGAAGCAATTACATAACAAGAAAGAAAAGTGTTTTTCCAAGGCATATTGTTGAAGATGTTAACAAATTAGCAGATTAAAGTAGGAATGTTGATATGTTTATTTAAGTAAATGGACTTTGAAAAGTGCTAAAGAGAAAGAAATAGATAAAAATTAACTAAAATACCCTGAAACATTTCAAATTAAAAGGATATAACTATTTTGTTGTATTAGGTACATTTTGTAGCTTGTAATGTATGATTGTTCTAATATTTTTTTCAAGTCCATATAATAAAATTATACATGTAATTAATTATCTGCTGCTTTAAACTGTAAAACTTCCTTAGACTGGGATTTTTAAGAGTGCTTTTCTTTTAGCAAATACTTTAAAAAGTAAGGAATTTTTTATTAATGAATGTTTAAATCTTCTATAAAATATGTGTTACAAGTGTAAACTGCAAATTGAATATATATATATATTATTAAAGTACAATTTTTAGCTATTATATTCTTAGTAAATGTGTTAATGTTAATTAAGTGAAAAATTGTAGGGAGTTTTATTTTCAAATTTGTTTTACAGTTCTGTTAAATCTTAGATTATCTTTAATTATAATGCAGCCTACTTGTACTTTTGTTTTATTTCTAGGATGATGTTACAAAAGTGAGGCCTGCATAGATAATTACTTTTAAGTTATTTAATTTCCATTTGCTGAAAGATTCTTCTGCCCTTTTCTTTAAAAGTTTAAAAAATTCTTGATTTCTATGCACAGAAATGTGTACAAACCTTATGAGTTATATTGTATTAAATTAACAGTAGCTCTTTTGAAATAAGTTGTGAATTTCTCTCAGTGTATACAAATATCATCAATATAAAATTTTTACGGTCACATACTTTTAAAATAGATGTTGTGCATCATGTTTGCCATCATTGTTCATTTATTTATTATTTTATTTTTTTATTTAAATTCATGTATTTATTTTTGTGTCATAGGAAGGCAAACTTTCTGAAGCACTGGACATTTTGATGTCTCTTGAAAAACAAACTAGAACTGTAAGTGTACTCATTAATCGTTTGTGTATATTTTATTTGCTGTTTAGTGTAGATTTCTAATTTATATATTATGCTTATATTACTGGCATGTGTGCATTAATAGTATAAGATTGATAGTTTTGTGAATGTATTCGATATGCAAATATCCACTGTAAAATTAAGCCCGGAACTATAAGAATTACTTTTAGATATAAAATTGAGTGCTGAATCTTTATATTAGAATGATTATAGTTTTTATAATTATATGATAATTTTTCTGTGTTGGGTTAATTTTTATTTTAATATTTCAGGGTGCTGATACACATTCATGTGGACGAGTTTTAGTTGCTATTGTAAGATTATGCTTTGAAACAAAGAACTACCAAGCGTTAAATGAGCATATAGTTTTGTTAACAAAAAGGCGTAGTCAGATCAAACAAGCAGTTACAAAGATGATTCAGGAGTGTTGTTCATATGTTGATCAGATGCCAGATAAAAAGACAAAACTGGAACTTATTGATACTTTACGAACTGTAACTGCTGGAAAAGTATGTTTCTATCTTAGCAGTCTTTTCTTTATCAGTTTTCAAATACCAAATTATATTTCTGTTTGGAGGAATATATTTTATTTAATTTACAATGTGATTGACTTTTTAATAGTAATATAATGCATTAAGTTTCTTTTTGCTGCATCTAAAATAAATATTATAAGAAATCCTTTTTCATTTGTTTGAAACATATTAATTATTAATGGTGATTTGCTTAAAATTTAAATGGGTTTGAATTTAAAGTTTGCCTTTTAAGCTTTTGAGTATTCAAATATAGTAGTTTAGCTATTTTTGGGATATTTGTTTCAATAACGAAAGATTTTATTGCCAGAATAACATTATGTCAGAAGTTTGTGCAGTGGCACATTGCATTTTGCAATGCAGCTAGATTTGCAAATGTTCACCTTGACAGCCATTTATGAGAATGTCAAATGTGGCATGATACTGCACGGTGAAAGAGGGTTAATCTGCTATTCCTGCTATGTGATATGGAATAACTTTTTAAATAGCCATTAACCTCCGCTAATCTCTATATATTGTGACTTCATGTAAAACTGCAACCATTCTAATAATAAAATGCTTTGTTATTAATTTAAAAAAATTGTCTTTTTTTTTTTTTTGCATTTATATGGAAATTGCATCGTGCTACTGTTTGTACTTTTTGAATTATTGAGTTTTTACCTTTTCTGTTACTTATGCATCATGCTATGGTTTATAATTAATATTTAATTTATGGCAAATGTTTTTTTTGCTTTGTATTTATTTATACATGAACTAAAAATGTACTTTTTTTTTTGTTTTTGTTTTTTTTTGAAGTGAGTAGGCTTGGAGAATACTCCCTCATTATAAAGCAGCTCTTTTAACAGTTTTTCAGCTTTATGTACCTATGAAATAATTACTTTTAATTAGTGTTTGTATCTAGTAATTCTCACTTTACTCCATAATTTGTTATTTACAGATATATGTTGAAGTTGAAAGAGCCAGGTTAACTCATAAGTTAGCTAGAATGAAGGAGGAAGAAGGTAAAATTGATGAAGCTGCCAAAATTCTTCAAGAATTGCAGGTATTTTTTTTATACAGTCAAAAGTCGTTAATTCGGACACCCATAATCAGGACCTCAAAGCTACAAACTTTCTGCGTGTGCGTCGCGTTGATGCATGCGCATAGGCGTTTACTTGCGCACGTAAGACCTTTACGGCTGCGAATATGCTTGTGCGCATGCTCATAAAACGTTTACGCATGCACGTTTAATGTATAACGGACAGTGTAAGCTAAGCTAAAATTATCTAATTCAGTTAATGTTGCAGATTGCGTTGTTCCTTAATCTTCGAATTGGATCCGGCTTATTATTTTTTGCAGACTGTTAGAGCAATTTTATAAAAGTAAGCTTAAACTTTCGATTATATCAAATAGAATTTCCGATATATATTTGTTAATATGTAATTATCTAAAGTGAAAGTATGTTTTGAAATTCGAAATCTGTTTATTAATTTCACGTTGCTCGGTGGGGGGAATGCCGCAGCGCGCAATGAATTGGAAGTTGATCTGTTAGCACTATCCTTATCTTCAGGGCAGATGTTTTTATCTTATGTGGCTTATAATTCCTTACCAAATGTAGTATTTCATCTCGATGTACTCCGTCTTTGATATGATTTAAATCAAATTCCTCGTCATTATAATTCGCTTCCGATAGTGAAGAAAGTGACACAGAGGTTATTGAAAATGAAAAAATTTCGATTGAGAAATTAGTCGGTATTCTCGACACAGCAATTATAGGACTTGAACAGCGGAACTTTGTAACTAAACAAGAAATTATGTCTGTTTAATAGAATTAAAGAGAAAGTATTATCACATGAAACGAAGCAACTTAAACAACTTACATTGAAAGAAATGTTTAATAAAGTAAACAAATAAATGTTAAGCTTTTTCTTTTTGTAAATTTTGTTACCCTTTAGATCATAATTGTTCTTTATTTCATAAATTACGGTTTCATATTTTTAATTTTGTAATTTCTGCATGCCATCTTACCAGATTTAACTGATGATCTGTAATCCGGAAAAATCGATAATCCGGAATCGCCGAAGTCCCGACGAGTCCAGATTAATGACTTTTGACTGTATTTTAAGAAAAAGTTATCTTCACCTTCTAAATTATGAAGATGTAATTTTGTTTGTTTTTGAATACATGATTGTCCAGTGCGTGTTATTAATATGAGATATTAAGAACATATTTTCTTGTTAGTTATCTAATTGCATCTCATGCACACACTATTGAAATGGAAATGCAAAAACAATTTCCCTCACCAAACAATGCATTAATATCCTACCCTTTAAAAATGATCCAAGCATTGAAGATAATGTTAAAATTGTTATTAAAATTTTATATCACCTACATATACAGTAGAGTCCCGAAAACCAGCGTAATGTGGACCGAAGGGTGGCCGAGTTTGTGAAAATGCCAGGTTATCGGGAAAGGTTTTAAAAAAGAATAAATACGAGTGTTTCCTCAGAAAATACACTGCTTATATATATTAGTTGCTTGAAAATACAACGGTTTACAAAGATTGCAGTACTCTAACTCAAACTTAAACTACACAAATACCCTTAAACAAAGGAAGAGTACCTACTTCATGAAGGCATAGAACCTTTATTAATAAAAATTGATGAATACATTGTGTACAGTAATTTACCCGATAAGAGAGATCTAAAAAAAAAAAAAAAAAAAAAAAAAATGCTTTATGAAGGCATAAAGCTGTCTATAATAAAAATTAACTAGTTGACTTTAAAAAAACTGGCTATTTTTTTTTAAAGAAATGTGCAGTGCCCTCTTGTTTTCTGTATTGCACTCTGAATTTTGCTCCTTAATCACAAAGACAACGAAGGAACAGTGAGTCTGTTACTGATGCATCTTGTTCAAAATACTGAAGGGCGGTTTCTACAGGCTTAACGTTCCCTCTGGGGTTTATCTGAGCTAATGGAGTCAGTTTCATGTCTCGACTGGCTCCGCTATGCCTGCAATTCAGGTTTTTCAACTTGCTGCCCTATGGGGAAAACTGGTTTTGAAGATGGATTGGCTATGTCAGTTGTCTCCGTTAGCTCATATAAACTCCAGTGGGAATAGCCCTTTAGTCCTCCACTATGTGATATTTTAGGGGCTTGTACGGTGGAATCCTCAACGTCGTCATCATTTTCTGACATTTCTTCATTAACTGTGATAGCAGCAATAATTTCTACATCAGATATAATGTCTTGCTCGGTATCGTTCTAGAACCACTGTTCGATGCCATTTTCATACATCCAGAAACACTTTTCAGGAAGTTTACATTTTCTGCATCATCATGTTCATTTCATTTAACTCATTTCCCTCGTGATCGAGGTGTTTTTGCCAGGAACGAAATAGTGTTGATGATTCTGTCTCGTTCCAAGCGTCTGCCCGCCATCCATCTAGCAACATTCAATAGTTAATTTTCTTTAAGCTCTGGATAAGACATTGATCATCATCATTTGCAGAAAGAGAGGAAGATAACACCTTATGCCTGTGTCTTCTCTTGAGACTAACCAGAACTCCTTAGTCCATTGGTTGGCGGAACGCTATGACATTGGGTGGTAAAAAAATTGCTAATATGACCCTATTTTGTAACTCTGATGCATCGTCCAAAATCAGAATAGCCTTCCATAGCGGCAGGTTTTTAGATTTTAAAAATTGCTGAACCGATGGAACAAATACTTCATGGAACCATTCATTGAAAATTGCACAACTCATCCAGGCATTTATCTGGTTTAGGTACCAAACAGAAAATTTATTCATTTCATTGTGATTTCTTTGATTTTCATATGATACCAAGTTTTAATTTATGGTTACCTGCTGCATTAGTGCATGCTAGGATTGTTACTCTCTCCTTGCTCCTTTTAACCCATATTTTACCATTGTCCTATATACAGGACAGTACATATTTGATGGCTGAATAACAAAAAAAAAAAAAAAAAAAAAGTTTAAACTATTTTTTTCACACTATATTATTACAATAAAGCTGCTTGTTATATTAACTGTTTATGTTTTAATTTTTATTTTTACAAATCTGTTTTTTTTTTTTTTTTTTAAACAAACAAGAAGGACTAAATTTGATTTTTTGCACTTGATTTTTGAATGCATAAAAAAAAAGGTAAAATAAAAAAGTGTGATTTTATTTTAAATAAAATAGGTCTCCATTAATGTGAATGACAAAAAATCCGAAAGAAAAATATATTATAGATCCTTATTTTGCAATCCTTTTTATAGCATCCTATATATAGGACAATGGTAAAATCCGCTATTGTATGACACTAAAACATAACACGGCTTTGGAGTGAAATGGTTTCATCCTTGCTGTAAAATGTAGCGATCAACTATTTCTTGTCCCGAGTCCTCTTTTGTAAATGTAAATTTGTATATTTAGCATCTGAAAGCCATTTCATACTTTTGTGAATTGAAAGAAATTTAATTAAAATAGAATGAAAATTAATTAATTGAAAGAAATTTACTTTTGTGAATGCTTATTTTGTAAGATATATTCATTTTACGCATCCAAAATGAGTTGAAAATTTATAATAGCTGAAGAAGCTTTGAAATATTTTACGATATTAGATAATGAAGATTCTGAGCCGGAAATGGCAATAATACCACCTGATCCAGATGCAGACAGTGATAATGAAGAAATAAACTATGACTGCACTAAGACTAGACACAGCCAAGCTATCTGTGATGAAAATGCAGCAGGAACTATAGAAAAAGCAGTAACTGTGGAAATTTTATTAGGAAATGAAGATGATGAAGTATGTGTACTAAAACTAGATTGGAAAGATTGCGTTCCTAAATATTCACGTGCTCTAGAAATATTTTCTCAAGATTCTAGTTAGTCCATTACTGATTTAGTTTCTGGAAAATATCCTACAGAACTCTTTGAATATATCGCTGAAAAAATGATAGACAAAGCTGTTATTAAGACCACCAGTGGCCAAGCGGTAAAAGCCACTGAACACTGGTAGTTCGGTCCAGGGTTTGAATCCCGGCGAACGGGCTGCCTGCATGGGCATTTTTTTGGTTTTCCACATGTGTAACATGGATACGAGACAGTTTCCCTTAAAAAAACCTCCACAGGGCATCACTCCCTTTCCATATAGTGCCTAAGGGCGGAGCAAGTAATAAGTAAAAAAAGAAGCTGTTATTGAGAATAGCAAGATACATTGGGCAGAAAAATTAATCATAATTTTTCAGTGACAAAACAAGAACACAAGCAATACTTAGGTATATCTTTTTATAGTGGCTACCACATTTTGCCACGTGAAAAGATGTACTGGGAAAGTGCGCCAGACACAGGAAATATACTACTAGTTAGTCCAGCAATGCCACGAAATAGAGATATGCTGGGCAGAAAATTTAATCATAATTTTTCAGTGACAAAACAAGAACTCAAGGAATTCTTAGGTGTATCTTTTTATAGTGGCTACCACATTTTGCCACGTGAAAAGATGTACTGGGAAAATGCACCAGACACAGGAAATATACTAGTTAGTCCAGCAATGCCACGAAATAGATATTTTGAAATCAAGTGGTAGATTCATTTCATTGACAATAGCACCATTGATTAGGACAGCTATTACTAAGTACGTGCAATTTGTGATTTACTGAATGATGCTTTACAACAATTAGGGATATTTTCCAAACATCTAAGCATTGATGAAAGAATTGTGAGCTATTTTCGGTCGACATGGTTGTAAAATGTATATGTGAAAGAAACCAAAGCTCTTGATCTTCTAAAATATTCGACAGGGCTATAACAGTCAGCTTGTTTGGGATTATCAATACCTAGGAACATTCAAGGCAGAACATTACGTGCACAGCAGAGAAATCCTGGACTTCTTGAAAATGCAAAATGATCATGTGATTGGTCAAAAATCCTGATGGACATCAACGTCGTTGTCAGTTAAAAAACTCTTTACTAGGAAACCGACTATTTGTAAAAAATCCAATATTGGCTTATGCTCAAGTTGTTTTTTTACCATTCCATTTAAAAGAATGTGCTTG